TCGGAGGGAAGTGGGCGAGCAGCTGAAATGAGGAGGAGAACGAGGAGGGAATGCGAAAGGAGGAGTGATTAAATGCAGATTCGTTACCTCAGTCACTAGTAACTGCAAGATGGACTGTCTGCTGCGTGGAATTCGTAAAGATGAGAGACGAAATTGGAGGAAGGAATGGTGGACTGGCTCAATGTATCTTCACATACCTCACTGTATTTGCAAAGCACTAGCGTCAGTCTTCGTCGTGTTCAACTGCTTCAGCATTCGTTGTTGTTGTGCTTCATGCTCTTGTAGTCCTGTTGCCAGTCCTATCCAATTCATCAACATAACAACGAGTGCTGTCCAGACCTTTGAGGCTGTACGGTTGTGGAAATGGGTGGAGGAAACAGTAGCCAAAATGAGTCCGCGCTCCACTTCTTTATGACCCATAAAATCCAGCGAACAGTAGACATGTGGTCGCCTCTGTCTTCCGCTATTGGAAGCGAGTGGTGGCCTCACGCACTAGTTGCTCTTCCATTAGACGTGCTTCCGTAGAGAAAACTGCCGCGTTTAGCTTTGCCGTGCATCGAATATGTACGAGCCTGCGTCACCGTCAGGCAAACTGGGCCAACATTACCAGCAAGGTGATATAAGCGTGGCACGAAGTGGCCATGTCGCCAAGCCTCGCTTCACCACCGACCATTGCAAGCGTCCTTCATCGGAGCACTCGGCAGATGAAGAGAAATTGAGCTGCCTCACATCCTTCACTTGGTGACACCATTGTCTTCTTCATCTTGACAAGTCGTCGCGGGGGATCGCTTAACACGAAGCTACGTCACACTGTTGTCACCGATGTACTAACGTCTCTCGGTCAACTTTCCTTCTTGTACACTCTCCACTGCGAGTTCCAACTTCCAGGAGGTCATGGTGAGATACTCTGACACTCCACTGTTCACTGATAGGCGGTGCAGAGTTTCAGTCCATGGAACTAACATAAAGCTTCCATTATGTAACACAAGTAAGTCATTTTACACTCAGAACCTCTTACTGGTGCATCAAACAATTTGCGATTTGTGAGTCAAGCTGCGGTCATTGCTTTGTAACTGTCAATCTTTCAAATCATGCAAAAAAATGAAACTATTCTCGGCTTCAAAGCAGTACAGCAAAGATTTGTCGGTGGGGCATCGAAGGGCAAGGAAACAATCTCATCCCTTACCTTTCGTGTAGGCTATCTTGTGGTTCCTCTCGTACCATTGTGACGG